ACACACACACACACACTCACACACTTTCTCTCTGAGTGTATGTCGTCCATGCGAAGGCGAGGCCCGAAGGGCCGAGCCGAGCGAAACCTGCCTCGTCTGTGTATAAGTGTGTGTGTCTGTGTGCCGTTGCTGCGAAGGCGAGGCCCGAAGGGCCGAGCCTGAGCATGTCTGTGTGTGTTCTCTGTGTGTGTGTGTATCGCATGGACACCCCCTTGCACCCCCACTCACCGCTGCACTCATCGGTTGTCTCTCCCTCTCTCTCTGTGTCCATGAGTTTTTTCCTAACTTAGTGGTGCCGTGGAAGGACGAGTATTGACTGTATACCTTTACTACAAGATGTTCTGACTGCCAACCAACACCGCCTCGCTATTCGTCCTTTCCACCAAATTGCACCTCTCACCACTTCACCGCACTCACCCCATCGATACCCCCCCTGCCGCATACCCACTTCTCACACACGCAAGGCCAGCCGCCCAACCGCCGCACACACACAGCCCATCACACCAACAGTCATTCCCCGGCCTCCCAGCCTCCTGCGACGGACACTCGTCGAACTCCGTGTGTGTGAATGTCTGGGTGCGTCTGCCGCCCACTGCTGCACACCTGCATTCACCCAGTTCGCAAACCCCACGCGTCATTACTGTCCAGGTGAGCACGGCAGCAGCCTTCATGGGCACTTAATTGCAATGGGAAATAACCTCCCCGGCCCACAGGTCGCAGGGTTCCAAACCCTGCGAGCTTAGACGTGCAAGGGGGAAGGCACCCACGCGACAGATCCTCTTGTGCTGGTGGGCTGGTGTTGTTTGTGGGAGCGTGTGGCGGGTCTGGAGGATGCGTGCCGGAATCCCCTGTTCCAGCCGCATTGGTACGGCAAGAAGGACATCCAGACGTACGACGACATCCCGCAGATAGAGACCAACCTGCAGCTCTGCCCACAGTACAATGAACTCTCCTCCTGCTGCCACCAGGTACAGACACAGATCTATCATCTGCGCGCCCATCCATCCATCCGGTTGTGTGTAGACGCTGGAGAGTGAACAGCTCAAGTACTACCACTTCTGGCGGTCGATACTCGACTCCAAGATAAGACGACTCGCCAGCTAGAAGGCGTCCGTTATGCAGGCAAGGCCGACACACGATACAATACAATACAATACATGGATGGATGGAAAGATGGCCCTCGTCTGTTTCTTGTGTTGTCTTGTGTTGTCATGCTTGTGTCAGGTCAAGTCGTCTGCGCAGTACAGCGCCTCCTCGCCCGACCACCAGAAGCAGTTTGACGTGGCCGTCGAGCGCATCACTGACGTCCTCGACCCCGCCTTCTACGCGCCATGCTACAGCCGGGTGCCCGAGTACGCCGCAGGCATGATCTGCTTCGGATGCAAGCCCGACTGGAAGAAGTACGTGGCCTTCGTGCCGCTGGAAGATGATTCCAACGTGCAGGTGAGTAAGTTGCATAGATTCTTCGTCTGCACTCACTCACATGAATGCATCAATCAATCTGTGTGTGTGTATGTGGGTGCAAAGGTGATTGGTCGGTTGAACATCGACGAGAGCTCGTGCTATCTCATGTGGGGTGCCTGCGAGGCCTTCGGTGACAAAGCCGCCCAAATGGTCGGTGAATGGGGCGGTGGGGCGGTGGAACACAGTGGACAATGCGCTGCTGTCTGTCTGTTTGTCTGTCTGTCTGTCTGTTTGTCTGTCTGTCTGTCTGTGTGTGTGTGTCTGTGTGTGTGTGTGTGTCAGCATCGGGCCATTTTGGACTCTTCCTTAGTCAAGCAGGCGACCAAATCAGAGGAGGACTTCAACATGTTCACAGAACTACAGGTAAAAACACACGCATACACGCACACACACACACACACACCTATACAATGCATCTCTCCTTGGCGCCTGTCTGTCTGTCTGTCTGTCTGTCTGTCTGCATGTCATCCATCCATCAGTCTTTGTGTCAGTGGGCTCACGACACCATCGCCCTTCATCCCTTTGTGACGCCCAATGAGGCCGAGCGGGAGAATGCGGGTCCCATAGCTATCACGACGGCCCGGCAGCTAGAGGACGACACTGGGGGCTCGTCCAAATACTCCCCCGTGACAGAGGGGGTCAAGAGCGGCTTCAACACCAATTGGGCGTCCAATGCCTACGAGAGGGGCGGGTGGCTGGCCCTTGGGGTGGCCACTGTCCTGATGGCTTTGTGGGTCCAGCAGTAGTTGACAGAGAGGGAGGGAGGGAGAGAACTCATTGAGTGTGCTTGCGTGTGCGTGTTTGTGTATATTTATCGGTGAACCATCTGTGCAGAAATGCGTGTGTTGATTGAATTCAATGAGTCTTGTCCGCCAGAAGCATGAAATTAACCACTGCAAATATGAATCTACACCTCTTCACATGCTAATGTGTCGCTACGGTGGATGTCTATTTCTAACGCCAGAGGTGGCTGTTAGTGGCTGGGGGCAACTTTAGACCGTCTACTCACAGACTTCCTTCGCTCATTTATATCACACCCGCGCTGCTGAGACTGCATCAGCCTACAGAATGCATGACGGCTGTCGTTCGGCTCGCTGATGGCTCAAGCCATCCTATCAGGTGCAGAGACCTACGCAAGAACACAGACGCAGACACGTTGAGATGCAGATACACACACACCGACACAGAGACACAGACGAAGTAGTGAGAGAGATGTGACGATCTTCGGCTTTCTGCGTCTTTTTACCTCTTTGGCTGCTTCGTCTCTTGACCCCTCACGCCGCTCCTTCTTCCTCAACGCCTTCTGTGCCTGTTGGGTGCCAGGTTGCTTGAGAATCTGACCAATGTGGGGAAACCAGGCAGAAAGAATATCGATGTGACCGATATGTACGTGTATACCACACACGAACGCAAGCAGTGCATTTGGGCTCACTCGCTGTATGACTGTGTCAACATTCTTTAAAGCGCTGGTCCTCGGGCCGGTCGCTAAATACACCAAGGACGTAAAGGATATGGCGCCAGGCTTGTACATCACATTCGGCGAGATTCCTGAAAAATAGATGTGTCTCTATGTGTTCTGTGTATCTATATGCGGCTGGGGGGAAGGGGATTTCTTTGTTTCACCTTATGGGGCGGAGGAGGGAGGGTTGGGACATAGCTCATCCTCTTCGAAGGTTTCAAATAGGCGAGACAGTATAGGAATAACTAAGCAGAAAAAGACAGCAGGAAAGGACACCGATAAATTGCCTCTAATTAGTAACCCAGATCGACTGACCTGCACCACCATGAACGACAACTTAAGACCGAAGCCTGGGAGCGTCATCAGGAGGCTGTCAGGAGGGTGACGATAGACGACAGCGGTGCGTTTTCGGCCACCATCTCCTTGATGTCCTCCCATACTATGTCAATAACAGGGAGTGTCAAGTCCTTGCCTTCGTCGTTGGCGGTCTCATAGAAGGCATCCATCTGACTCGCTCCGGTGATACCCGGGTCGTTGTCCGGCTGAGGCGAAGAGAAGAGCTGTCTTATGTTGTTGACCGCCCGGGCCGCGTCACGCAAAGTAAAGAGACAGAAGGAATGAGAAGGGCTGAAAGGGGCAATCGGGGGAATCACCACTGCAATGCAGTCAGTTATCTCGTCATCGGACATTGAAGCTGGAATCTTCACACTGGTTAGCTGGTCCCCTTCCTTGGCGAACTCCTTTTGACGGGAATACACCTCCCTGCCCAACGAAAGTGAGGACTCGAACGACTGATCGTTGGTATAATTGGCAGTCAGGAGGGAGGCCTGCAACACGCTCATTGTAACACGTATTGTAACACGCGCCTTGCAAAACAAGCCTGGAGCGTGGCGATTATTCTTACCGCAGTGCCATTCAACATGCACCTATTCCTACACCCACCTCGATCGTGATGATCAGTGATCATCGCCCTGAGCGGACATCCCTCCCCTCTCTGCACAAACAAGTTGGTGAGCACTAGAGGGAAGTGGTCGCCGACGATGTCCTAGGTAAGGTGACGCTCTGTGAGGGGCAGAGGATCGAAGAAGCGCGAGGCGGTGCGGTCCAAGTTGATGACGGCCGGCCGAATCAGATGGGGGTTGAAATCGAAGGGCAGCTTGTGGCCGAAAGGGGCTAGCACCATTGAGGGCTTGCGGCTGATGTTGCGGATGGCGCAGCCGCTCGGGTGGATGGCGTAGCCGTCGTGGGCGATGGTCAGGATGCGCATGAAGTCGTATTTGGAATAGTCGCGCATCTTGAAGTAGATGTCTAGGGGGCGGCTTACGTGGATGACGGCGAAATTGCCCTTGGGCAACTTCACATCCCTGGTGATGTACACCGCCTGTGCAACGCACCAATCGAAAATAAGGAGTGTGATTCTTGTGAAGTGTCGACGTGTGAGTGAAGGCGAGCGTGGAGCACATGCATGAAGGCGTAGTGGGTGTCAATGTGAATCCACGTCCAAGACAGTTCGCCTTCGATGAAGCGGTCGGGCATCCATCCGCATATCGTGTGGCATCTGACAGAAAATGCGGGATGCTGCCCCTCCGACGGACTGCACGACACGCACACCCCAACATAAAGGCACACCATACACAAACCCGCCAGAGAGTGACACCTGGCTCTTCCTCATGTGTTCGCTCACGTGAGAAAAAGGGCTTGTTTGCATCGATAATATCGCTGAAATCTCTCTTGACCTTTGAAAAGTATGGGCTAGGAAAGTTTGCACACAGAGAATTACACAGAAAGAGAGGCGTCGCTGTGTGAGAGGTGTGGGTGTGCGTGCATGTGTGTGTTTGTGCATATGTGGTACCTTGCTCGATATCGTACACAGTGCCGCTGGCGACCCTGGTGCGATACATGTACGCAGCGGCCACGGCCAGCATGTGCAGAATCAGGACGGGCAACGCCTTGTCGTTGTCCTTGTCATCGCCAATGGGGCAGTTCTTGGGACACTTGATGTAGGCCTGCAGAAAAAGGGTGAGTTTTGCAGCATACCTGTATCTGACTATGTGCTTACGTTGAGCCCGTTTTTCTCTTCGGAGCTGATGATGCTGCCATGCATCACTTTTTCGCACTTGAGGCAGCTCACGGGGTTCTCACCGGTGATGTCATCGTCTGGCTTGACGCCAGGGATGTCGTCAGGGGTGACCATCGGCCAGCAGGTATACACACAACCACACACACACGCATGCGCGGCAAATGACTGTTGATGAATGAGTGTGTTGGCGTATTCTCTTACGGCCAGGGTATTGTCGTCGTGCTCCCATCTGGCGATCATGGCGAAGATGCAGTGCTCTCCATGAGGGTCGAAGTCGTCGCCGTCCTTGTCGAGGCAGGGCAGGTGAGTGCCTGCACCTGGCCTTGAGGATCTTGCACGGCGATAGACTTCTTATCAAGACAGCAATAACCATGCAGTATCACCATAGCTTTCATGAGTGCATTGGGCACCAACGCTTGCTTGATAGACACATAGACACAATGGACATAGACACAATCGTCACGAGCGCCCTGTGTCTCGCCACGAGCAGCCACGTGGCCGCCTAGCTCGACTAGCGACATGAGAAACTCTCTCAAGCAATGAGACTCCACTAGCAACACCAGAAACTCCACCAAATAGCTCGAAGCCTGCAGGGAAAGCCAGACAGGGTTCGGGAAGCGTTGTCGTCCGGTGTGGGGAATGTGATGTGCGCCAGGAATGACTCCATATACATGAGTAGCCAAGAGACTTCATGGTGCGTCACTCTCAAAACGCGAGAAAGGCTTGGAGGGCTGCCGGGCAGGCTCATCACCGGCCAGGCTAATCACCGGCGCACCCGCCCACGGTAGCCCTTGTGGTGGCGAATCGACTCCTTCATGGGCCCGTAGTCGGCGTACCAAACGTCGTTGGGTTTTGCCGACTTGGTGCGGTCGATGTCTCTGGGCTTGCGGGGGAGATCTCCATCGACGCAGGGCTGGCAGTCCCCAGGCTGTCGGTCTTTAGTGAGTGTAGAACTGGGGGCGCTTGCACAGGCCGCCGATGCATTGCTGGCTATTCTGCTCGCAGTTCTCAAACGTGTCCTCGCAGAAGCCAAACCGCCTGTGACGACATCGAGGTAGGTTTGGGGGCCAGGATGAGGGGGGCCGACTTCAATCTTGTCGCCCATGCCGCGGTCAGCCGCGAGCATGACGGCATGCCCCTCCAGCGTTATCTACCCCGGCCCACCAGCGAATCGTCATGTCCCTGCACCAGCGTGAGCCCATACTCGCCTCCATCACACCAGATGCGCCCGGTCGGCCGCGAGCATCGGGGCATACGCCAGCGAATCGTGACATGGACATTGGTGGGCTCATAAAGGCGATGCAGCCTTGGCTTCCGAGAAATGAGGACAGGCCGATCGACAAGAGGCCCGTCTCGTCTCAGCATGTCGTTGACTCGCGTCAAGCCGCCTGCTTCGATTTTCTGGACAAGGGGTTTTTGAAGGCTTCCTGGCCACCCGCAAATTGGACGATACAATTGCGAGCTGCACAAATGACACGATCACGTGGCCGTCTGGACGTTCAAAGCAGGTTGACGTGCGTCCTGTTTTGTTTCCTGCACGCGTGTGGCGACGTACTAGTACCAGATAGGCAGACCAAAGAAAGACGGCACACGCATTTGCAGCTGCACGGCATGGATACGTGGATATAAATGACACGGACGAGCCATGACACGTACGTGCAGAGATGCGGACACGCAATAAAGTGACTGACCAAGCCCATAGAGGCCATAAAGGCCCCTGGCTGTCTGTCTGCCTTTGTGGGACACATTCTATGCACAGACGTATGTCCGTCTGCCTACAAGTGTACGTATGTGTGGGCGCATCGGCACGACGCACCCACGACAAAAATACCCCTTGCATGCTCACAGACACACACTGGTGGAAAACTAGAAAACTCACGCAAGCACCCGTCTGGCTCATTTGTTCCGTCAGTTGGGAGCGGGCGGGCTGGGTGGCTGAGTAGAGACCTCCAATAAGGCGCCCTCCTCGGTGATGGCGTATGTGCCGGCATAGATGATCCGATAGTCCGCACCGTCGGGCGTGTGCACCCACAAAGGCGCAAACGCAAAGCTCAGCAGGCCCTCATGAAATGGCCGGCTCAGCGCCCGGGACTGCCCATTGGCAGCACTGCGGTGACTTTGCTCAGAGGGGTCGATGGCGAGCGGCCGCAGTGCGATCTGCCGTGTGGCGTCGCAGCGGAACCAGCCGTGAGTGGGCCGGTGGTGCTGGGCAGTGGGAGGGGCGTTTGGTGAGTGACCGTCGGTGGGCGGGGGCGCGAGGGGCGCCGGGGGGCTGGGGCAAGCGGGGTCGTCGTGGCGCGGCAGATACAGCACAAACGACAAACCTGCACACACAGACAAATACGGGTATATCCATCGCGAATGTAATGTGTTGGCGTATTTGTGGGAGTCTTGAGTGGCTCGGACCTTTGATGTCTGGCAACAACACGCTCCACTGGCAGTGCCATTCAGGCTGGTCCGCATCCGTCACGTTGTCGTCATTCTCATATCTGCCATTGGTCTGGTGAAAGCCGCTGTCGGTAACATAGCCACTGAACGCGAAGGGAAGGTCCTTCCATTGGTCGTCGCGCTCGTCAAGATAATGCAGTATTGGCGGCACGGCCATCGCGGCGGCTGTCCTGTCGACGATCGTGATGGCGTGGGTGAAGTACAGGAAGACTCCCACCTCCTTCAGGCGGTCCAGTGGCTGCAGGTCGCCGTCACGCAGCGTGTTGATGGACGAACTGAGCAGACTGTAATAGTTGCCATCCAGAGCACCAGACCGCTCCCTCTCACCTGCATGTGGACGATCACACGAACGACAGCATTAACTCATGCACTCAACTCACTCAACTCACTGGGGCCTTCCTTGTGTGCAGTCGCATATACACACACGATGAAGGTACTTACCGCAGAAGGCGTTTGGGTGGTCCCTGTCGCTCGAGAATCGGTCGATGACGTAGAAGGGCGTCCCCACGTCGCTGTCTTCGTACGGCAGCACACCTGCAGACATCCACCCATCCACACTCACAATGGTGCACGACATACACGGCCATGCCCACCCACCGCACCTCTGAAGAGCACATCTCCATTGAGAGGGTCCTTCTCAAGGTAAGCCATCTCGATCCGACACCATGCCCTCTTGGTGCTCGAGTAGTAGACCAGGTCACACGCGCGCCACGGCACGTTGCGATCGCCCCTTCGATTGTACACCGGGACCGCATACAGCAGCACCGCGCCCTCCTCTGCCAGCCGCTCATTCTCCTCGCCCAGCAGCTCGTGAAACGTGACGGCGCGGGGCGTCGGTGGCTTGTGCAGTGGGGGAGGAGGCGAACGGGGAGGCCTTCAGGCAGAGTGATGCACATACCGGACAGATAGATGTGTTGTGCGTCTGTGTGTCTGTGTCTGTGGCTGAGGACGTACGTGGATGATATGTATGAGGGCGGCGGGAGTGAGGGGGGCGGGGGCGGGGCCGACGAAGGCACCGATGAATGCGGGGGCGCCTCGTAGCTCGCCAGAGGGGCCACAGATGGCGTTCGGTATGACAAGACAACGGGCAATGTGTCCGGCACCGGCTGTGGGCCCCGCTTGTGCAGGAAATAGGCGATGGCCGCTAAGACGACGAGAGTCGACACCCCCGCGAGGATGTAGGGCCCATATTGCCGCAGCCATTGGGTCACGTTGTTCTCCAGCTGCTCGAGCTCTTTGGGCTCCTCGGGCTCCTCTCCCTTGCACTGCTTGGACTCCTGTTTGTTGAGCCAGCCCTCGATGCTGAAGCCGCCGGATGAGTCGTCCTTGTCGTCGTGCTTCTTGTCCTTGTCGCACGGCCCGCCGGGGAAGGACCCGGAGAAGGCCACCGTCCGCATGCCGAAATCGAATGTCGATGCCCACCTGCACACACACACTCACACACTGCATCTCTCCAGGTTTCTTCCGCCTTTCTGTCTCACTACTAACTTTTTGAGGAACACATCGCCGAGCAGCCAGACGCCCTCGCCCCCCCGGCCCCCCAACACGTCGGTCGACACCACGCCCAGGGTGCAGCTGGTCTCGTCCTCCTCGTCGTTGAGGCCCGGAATGAAGTACTCGTTGGGTCCGATGGTGAAGGTGACGTCCCATATGTCGAAGCTGAAGGGCCGCCAGGCGTGTGTGTTGTGGCAGGGGCAGTGGATGGGCGTGTTGGGCACATGTGGCTTGACGTTGGTACAGCCAGTCGTCAGCAGCTCGAGCTCAGGAGGGGCCTGGGAGAGAGCCACTTAGATGGGTGGATGGATGACACATGAGGGTGCTGTGTTGTGCTTACGATGTTCTGAAGGAGCAGTGGGAATGCGAGTGGGTCTGTCGGCGTGTGTATCAACGATGACCCTGTGTCAACGATGGCCCTAGTAGCCACCGGCAGAGGCCGCCTGCAATCCACACACACACACACACACACACACAATCTCCAGTCATCATATGAATACACCTCCGTACGCAGACGTGTGTGTGTGTGTGTGTGTGTCTGAACGCCCACCTCTCCACTTTGTTGTGTTCGAGGTTCGGCACATAGCCCGACACAGAGGTGAATCGTACCATCCAGTGAGCGCGATCCAACACAGGCAAAGGGTATGCAAACCTGAAACACACACAAACACACACACACACACACGTGAGCAGTGCTCTATGCACATCCATCTCGCCGTTGCCGCCAACCGTGATGTCCACGGCGGTGAGCCGAGCACCAGCTGAGACCCTCTTCTCCCTCCACTCGTCAAGATGAAGGAAATCGTCGGCCGGTCCAGCAGCTTGTGCGCGACAATGCTTTCCATCACAGTGGGGTAGCTCTTGCCAGTGTCGTCCCGGAACCCCAAACCCAGCACCCCATCGCTCGAAGTGCCATCTGCGAAGGCGTGGTCGGTCCTCGATATGTGGGCATACACCTGTTCAGTCAGCTCGAATGCGCCCAGCGCCACCTTGCCTTTGCACAGGGCGCCCTTGGCCCTGCCACTGACGTAGTGGAGGTCCACTGGCTCGTTGAGCGGGTTTGTGCAGTCGGGGAGGCGGGAGGAGCCGGCGCACTCATCGCAGCCGATGTCGTGGTCGACGTCAGCGCAGGCGCGGCAGTCCTTGCCCGGCAGCCATAAATAGGAACTCCCTGTGTCGACCGTCACCACAAAAGACCTCCCCTCCACATGGATTGTGCTCGAGTACTGCAGAGCCAGCCATGAACCACAGTCACTCGTGCATTGGATGCATTCATGGCGTCGTGTGGCGAGGCGTCGCGCGGTGTGGTGTGGCCTACCTCTAGGTCGTCATAGTTGGCGACGCTCAGCACCTCTCGCGTGGGCTTCTTGTCCTTGTCTGCCTTGCCCTTCTCGCCGTGATGGGGGCTGGTCTCCTCCAGCGACGACGGGGATGGAAACGAAAACGAAAAGGACTCATTGCTACCGCTGCCGCCGCTGCTGTTGTAGAAGATGGCGGGAAAGCGGCTGCGAAGGGCCTCTGCTCGGAGTGTCTCGTTGGTGATGAGCTGGTGGACGAGAGGAACGTTGACGCGCTGCTCGATGGGCAGAGCGATGCTGGTGAATGCTCCCGCATCGAGTCCCGCATCACGCGCAAAACAGATGCGATGGGGAGAGGGCCACGAGAGGATGAGAAGGAAGAGGGAGGGCAATGAGAGGCGTTTATTGATGGGACGCATCGTCGTCATTCATGGTCTGTCGTAGACGACCTGGACAGAGTGTCCAACATCCTCGGAATGTCAGATGCAGCAAAGCAACAGATCTGCGCGAATTGAGCTCGCAAACATTGTCGAGAATCGGAGACGGAAACTTTTGGTTTTTTATGATTTAGCCGTCACGTGAATTTGAGCTGCATGGCGCCTCAACAGTCAGGCGCATCCTGTTTATCCCGTGGCGTGGGACCGGGCGTGCTCCCCACTGACAGGCCTATCCTGAGCCGCCGACGAGGAAGAAGCGGCTTCGTCCTCGGTACGCGATGCCCTGGTCCGAGGAGTGGGGAAGGAAATACTTGTTCGGACGTGGGCCGCAAGGTGGTCAAGGTCTGTGAGAAGGCTGGAGGGCAGTTCCAGCGGACAGGACGGTGAGCAGGGCCACAAGCATACACGCTCATTGATCAGTTTGGTTCCTTTGGTTGTGTTGCAGGTGTTGATCTTGGTGTGCGGCCATCTGTCGGCAGGCAGGAGCCCCATGCTCATCAATCAGTGCACCAACATCTCGGTCGACCAGTACGTATTCAACTTCGTCAACCATGTTGCCACCGTAGCCACCGTTGTGGTCAGCACATCAACGCACCACGATCTCTTTCAAGTGCACTGATGTGCTGCTTGTCTTGTGTGCGCAGCAGGCCACGCCAGCGCCTCCGCCTCACCCATCCATCCCAAACACTGTGCCCGCTGCTGCTGCTTCTGCCCAGGTACACGGCGGTCGGCTTTCAAGAAGAAAAGGCCGTTCTGAGGTGCATGGAAGGACATTATGGCCTACGTGAGCAAGCAGTACTGCGAGGCGGACCTCGGCCCTGCGAGCGCTGCCATCTACGAGCGGGCCCTAAGGCGTGTCAGCACATCAATTGTCCCTGAAGCTAGACGGCGTGGCCTTGGGGTCCGGCATTTCCAGTGGGACCAGACCAAGGAGCACATCCGCGTCATTCGGCAAGACGGCAAGCCACCGAAGTTCATCGCTGGCTGTCCCACGCATCTTTCACTGTGCATCTGATGTGGAGCGGCTCCGGCCTGATGGTGTGGATGACGAGGGGAGGGTGGGCATATGTGTCGTCATGGAAGATGTCGGGAGATCATCGAATGGTAACATCGCACGGACGATCACACAGCTCAAGCTGATCCCACAGGAGCAGAGCGGTCGGCTGTCGTGTGCGCTGGAGGGGGATAAGGTGGTGTTGCGGCGGGAAAAGAAGCTCATCAAGGAGGTAGACCTGCTCGCCCTGCAGTCACAATTCCACTGACATGCGTGCGTGTTTCTGTGTCCAGGAATCACGCTATTGGACATGATCAGAGGGGAGCACTGCGGTGACCCACATGCGCCAATCGCCGATTGGCGAGTTCGGTGCGTCGCCGTACTGAATCTCATCCGCTGCCTCGAGATGCTTGCGGCTGCCGGCTATACACACAAAGACCTCAGCTGGCATAATCTTCTAGTCCGCAATGCGCACACGGCGGAGCTTGCTGCCATCGACTTCGAGACTTCTCGGACGATGAACGGCAAGAAGGCTAAGCGCCTGTGCTCACCCACGCCGCCTCGCCGTGCTTTGCCGTCAGCCACCTCTACACCCACTCAGAGCAGGGCCAGCAGGGAGCGAAGGAGGCGTTTTGCGCCGAGGCCCTTAACGACTACGTGGCGGCAGCGTGGTCGAGGAGGCCGACAAGATCGCAGCCCACGCCCACCTGCAGCTCAAGCCTCTCATGGACGAGTGTGTTGGCAAACGCATGCACAGCAAGGCGGCCATACGAGCCTGGTACCAGAAAGTTATCGACACCATCGTGCCGGAGGCGGGGGAGGAGAGGGGAGATGGAAATGGGGGCGGTGAGCCGTCTGCGCTTGTCATCAAGCATGCGCGTGACTTCTTCCGCACATGTGTGCTGATGGCGTCGGGAGAGGGAGCGCCGAAGCAGCTGAAGGAAGCGGCTACTGGCTTTGTGCGGAGTGTTGCTAAACGTACGTGAGATGCGGGTGATGCAGAGGAGGGGAGAATGGCGAGATGCATGTATGTGGATGTGTTTATTGCTATGGCTGCTGGTGTGTGCAGTGTTACCGAGAGAGGGTGCCCCTCATGATTTAACCTGGCCGGCCCTGCAAGTAGACATCCGTAGAGTACAGTAGTGCGACAGCATGGTGCGGTAAGTGCAAAGTATACAGAGTATGTCTCAGCCGCTTATATATCATGTGTGTGTGACGAAACACCCCTGACACTCGTGCACTCGTGCACCACTTTCAGGCCATCATCTCATCCATTCAGTCAAATGTGTCCTCGACGCATGTCATGTCGTTCGCACCGGAAAGAAAGGCAGTCCATCAGCCCGACCCCCACCCACGCAAAGCAATCAATCTTCACACCAGCTGGCGTGCTCTCGGCCCCTCCGGGAAGATACGCGCCTGCCAGTGGAGAGCAAACAGTGCAGCCGTAAACAAGGGTGGTTCCTTGCCCCCTGTCGTATGGGTGTCTACCAGGGCTTTTCTCTGGTCGGTGCGCACTGCTGGGGGGAAGCGAATGTCCCACGTCAGCACAATGTCGCCTGCACAGCCCAGCCATGATCCACACACAGGGTACAAGTGCCATGATGTGATGATGCTGTGACAGACTGACTAACTGACTGACCCTTTTCTTCGGGTTTCTCAGGATTTGGCAGCCCTTCCCCTTTGAGCCTCTTGACACTGTCGGGGCTGCATGTGGGCATCGGAGACACCAACAGACACCGGACAAGAGCAAAAGTGTGTGTGTGTGTGTGGTGAATGGTTGTGCATCGACTGATTCGTGTTGTCTTACGAGACGACTTCAGGGACGGCCACGGAGAGAGTGGTGCCGTTCTGATGCGGCTAAAATGAACACATACACACAGGTAGGTAGAGCGGTGGTGGCAGTGTCAGAGTCCGTCACTGAGTGGCTGACTGACCACATGAACAACATGTCCCGACAGCGCCTGGACGAGGGAAATGGACGCCACGTGCTTCAGATCCAAACCTACACACGCACACACACATACACATTGACACACACACACAGAGATGTCACTCTTCGCCACCTTGTCTCGTGAAGTGTGGGTGTGGAGCTGTCTCGACAGTGAAGACCAAATCGCCTGATGGATGGCGCACACAGACGGACGGACGGACGGACGGACGGACAGACAGAGAGACAGAGAGACAGACAGACGAGTGCGTGGGTGCGTGGCCTTGGTTGTCTGTTGACGCTCACAGTCACCCACCGGCGAGCATGTTGGGGTGTTCCTCATTGCCCTCGCCAGCCATCGTCAGGGTCGTGCCGTCGCACCAACCTACACATACGCACACAGACACGCACATGTGCCGTCGCATGTATGGCTATGGCTGGTTGCACACCTACCTGGCTGGACGCGGATGACGTAGGATTTCGTCTCGAGAAACGTGGTGCGCTTGTCGGCCGACAGACGCTGCATACCCACACACACCAACGCACACAGGCGGTGTGCAGACAGAGGATCATTCCATCCATCCATCGAAGCATACATACAATGCCAACTTGCTTACGCGTCTCTGCACTTGGACTTTCTTGGCGCTGCCACAGTAGAGCTCCTCCAGTGTGCACACGAGACGCTCCTGAATCAACCACACACACGCACACATTTGTCATCAGTCGTCTGTGTTCGGGATCGTCTGTCCATCTGAGTAAATACGTGTAAAGGGTCGCATTTGTTGCTCTGCTTTCCGTGCAGCGAGCTCCACGTGAAGGCCTCCTCCAACTCTGATATCAGACAGCAAGATAGGCAGACACAGGGCATGTCTATGGACGATGGATCGTTGGATGGATGGATGGATGACGCATTGACACACCTGCTGCAGGTGCGCCAAAGGGGCTCTCTTTGCCCATGAACTGCTGGAACACCTGCATGGCCCCCGTGGTGAACTGATAACCCCCAAGGAAGCCTGCACGCATCAATGGATTAAGGCATGGCGCACGGGGGAGGAGTTTGTTGCATTGGGTGTCTGACTTACCTCCTGTCTGGTCGACGACGCCATTCTTGAGGCCGGTCTCCCCAAACTGGTCGTAGATGGCCCTCTTCTTGGCTGAACACACACGTACAGACACACACAGAGACGCGAAGTCGGTGCAGCAAGCAATGGCCGGCCAGCCATTCCCGTCTCGTATTCCTACGGTCAGACAAGACCTACAGAGAGAGAGAGGAAAAAACAGGACAGAGAGAGCGACACACGGGGAACGATGAGTGCGTGCTTTCCATCGGCCCCCGCTGCCTTTCCCTCGGCCCACCTCGTATGCCTCAGCCACTTCAGCAAAGTGATGCTCAGCCACCTCTATTCTGTCCGTATACCTGCACCCGACAACCAACATCACAACCAACATCAGCACCGTGCGGCCTGAATTCCACCCCGCAACACGCAGAGCGCTCACTTGGCCGGGTGCCACTTGAGTGCCAGCTGCCGGTAGGCTCTTTTGATGTCCTCATCCTTGGCCGTCGACCGTTGCAGCCCCAAGATGAAGTAGTAGTCCTTGTTAGCTCCCCCCATGCTGGCGACGCAGATCGGCAAACTGCAACGGGGCTGAAGGTGGAACTGAGCATGCAAAACGATCGTCGAGAGTAGAGGGAGGCAACTGAAGCGGGGAAGCAGGTGCGTAGAGGCAGGGGAGTGTCTGTCAGTGTTTGCAGCCTCTCCCGCTTGTCCGTCCTCATCGCTCCGCCCCCTTGTACGTCCCCTTTGAAGATCCGGAGCTTGCGCCAGTGAAAGGGCAGCAATCAGTCCGGTCACCCATCCGACATCTGGCCAGCGGTGTGGCCGACTCCCTCTCCTCCACCGCTCAAAGGCCAGTTCAACGACACACGGCTGTCCGCTCCCTGCCTCCCGGTGCCTCTCGCCGGTTTGGCTGTCTTTGTCCTAAGGGAGGCCTCTCATCTGGCGCAAGAGACAGCGGCCTGTCAGCCAAAGCAGTCACTGACCCAATTGGCGGCAGGACACCGCAGCTTTTGAACCGGTGCTTCTCTTTGCCTCCCTGCGGCCGCTCGCGAGCTGATCAGGGGCGGGGAGGGCGGGGCGAGCAAGGAAGCCAACTGTCTGAGTGTGTATTTCATCCCTTCTGTGAGGTGTGGTGGCTAAAGGAAGCCTTTTGAGCTGATCTGCGTGTGAGTGACCGATAAATGGAGCCCCAGAGGGAAGTGACTCAGGCGGACCGGGCTAGTTGCGATGCCGTCATATGCTGGCAGTGCAGTGGCAAGAACGGCAAGACCAGTGAGTGGGCAGCGAAACAAGGAGAACAGAGAACAAACACGGCCACACCCCCCACGATGAATGTTTGTGCCTTTCCTCTCTGTCTGTCGGTCTGTCTGCGTGTGTGCGTGTGTGGTTGTCAGCGTATTGCGTCCATTGCGGAAACTTTCTGTTTGTGCGTCCTGGCGAGGCCATCGATGCCTCGCCCTCAATCAGTGGCCGAGTCGGCCCCTCACTATTGCCGAGGGGCACATCGGCGGCTGCCGTCAAGACCGCACCGTCACTAGGTGGGTGGTGGGCTTTGGTGTCGGTTACACGCATTGGTTGGCACAGGTTGTATGTGTGCGACGGTTGTCCGTCCGTGTGTCTGTCTGTGGTGTGTTCAGGTCATGGTTCAATGCGTTTGGTGTGCCTGGGCGATTTCAACACAGCGGCCAACTACAAGTCCTCGCGAGAACGAGCCAAGAAACGCGCTCACACCCACTTGTAACCACATTAAATCAACCCACATCCACACACACACGTATCCATCCTCCGCAGAGGAACCCATTTGGTGTGGTGTGCTGTCTTGTGTTGTGTTGTGCTGTGTTGTGTTGTGTTGTGTGTCGTGTGACCGCAGCAGCCCTCCTCCGCCTCCCCCCGTGCCGATCCCCACGTGCACCTTCATCCACGAGGAGGACAGCAGCGAGTGCGAGAGCGACGACGACATCGAGATGGGCCTGGCGCTCTTCCGAGCCAACGCTAACATACCTCCCGCAGCCTGTCGGCAACACGCCAAGCACCACCATATTGCTGGTGCTGGGCGGAACAGGGAGAGGGAGCGTGTGAAGAAGGTGCGCGGCAAGGGGCGGGAGAGGGAGAGGGGTGCGAGGGTGCGGGCTGGTGGTGGTGGCGGTGTGGTGGTGCATCACGACAAGACGTGCATGCTGTGACCGAGCTGTAATTGGCGGACCTGTGGGTGGATGAGTGGACGGTGAGTAAGCCGGAGGGAGGAGGCCACAGAGAGAGATGGAGAAGGAGGCGGGTGTGCTCACTGTGTGTGTGTCTTTGGTGTGGCTAGGTGGTCGTTTGCCCGGCAGGCTGTTGGCCTGATCCATCCATCCATCCAGTGACACCCATCCGCTCTTTTTGCTGTCGTCTCCTGACTGACTGACTGACTGACCGATCGGTCGGTCGGAGAATGGAAGCCGTGGCTAGGCTAGAATTGACCCGTGCAGCCCAGCCCACCCAGGAGCTGACTGAGGGTTCTTGTACACCATCCATCCAGATGTGCATGTGTGTGTGTATGTAAATCATCATCAGTATGGACCACTGACTGACTGACTGCGGCAACGGTGCAGACAGACACAGACCCACCTGCCTGCCCGCTCGCTTACCTGTGCAAATGAAGCTTTGTGCTGGTCCCTCCGTCCGTCCGCCTGCCAGTCTGTCTGTCTGCCAGTGGTCGTTTTTGCCCCTTTCTCTCATCCCGTGCGGAATTGCGTGTCTTGTGTGCTGTGCATCTGTGTGTGATCGGGGGGGATCTGCTTAATGACAGAGGGAGAGAGAGAGAGCTGAGAGCGGCAAGTGAGTGAGTGACAGATTGGTTTACCTGTGAGTGGCTGCATTTGTGTGCGTGCTGGCTGGCCGACCTGTAGGGAGAGAGACAGCCAAGCCACAGACAGACCCACAACACACCCCGTCCATCCACCGTACCACAGCATCCGTCTACATGAATCAAACAATTGCCTCGGTAGTGTCGGTGTCTTTGCCGTTGCTGGGGCGGGGCGGGGCGACCACGCAACACAGCATTGCATTGCCCAGCTTTGACGATGGCTTACGCCCAGCCACGCCGATCTACCTACGCTGCAGGAAGCGTCGACTTGCTATCAATGGAGTTGTGTTGTTGCGTGTGGTGTGCCGCTACCGTGCCGAGGGTGCCAAGAGAACCGACACACCAGCCGACATCAACTTCTCGCATTTCTGCCATTCACTGACTGCATGCATACACACACACTGAGACAGTGTGCGTGTGTGTGGACTATATGGCTATGGGCCGATGGATGGATGGATGGATGGATGTCGCGAATTCTCTTGTTTGGTTGGACGTTTGGACGTGTGCCTGTCTGCCTGTCAGTCAGTCACCATTGAATGGACAACGAACGTCAGTCACCACTGAGAATGTCTGTGCACTGCGATCGATCCGATCGGTCACTCACTAATCAGTCAGAGGCATTAAAACGCCCTCCCAGTTGCTGCTGCCTTGGCTGACCGAAACCAATACGCTCCCATCCATCTCTCAGGCGTCTGTCTGTCTGTCTGTCTCCTCTCTCTACACACAATTAAGCGAGTGCGTGGCCGGCCGGCTGTGTCAATATCTACACCAACAAACACTCACACACGCAGCGCAGCGCAGCGCAGCTACTTCCCCCTCCCCTCCCCTCCCCTCCCCAGCCCCCCCAGGTCATATATCAGAGGTTGGCGAATGAGCCGCCCAAGGGTGTGGCTTTCCACTTCTTGGCCGACGGGGTGCTGTTGTTGTCCGATGGGGCGGGCAGTGTCCGGCCCGCCTCAGCTGACTCGATCAGACGTTCCTTCACACACACACACACAGAGAGGGAGGGATGGAACAGGTGGCGGAGTCTGTGTGTGATGGAGTGTGCGTGTTCGTGGGCTCTCACCTTGATTGCGTCTTTGCTGCTCGGCTTATGCTCATCTTCCCTCTGTTTCTCGCTGATGGTCGACACAGAATAGACTATGACGCCCAGCACACACTGACACACACACACACACACATCCATGTGGGTGTGCCGAAAGATTGGTTGGCATCGCATCAAGAAGAGCGTACGATGGATGCAGCGAGTGCCTTGGGCGGCGTGAGGCACTGCGATGGCTGCAGGTGACAAAACAACACGTGTCCCATAATGAACACGGTGGCCGTGCGGATGCCCTGCACACAGACAGACATACGGACAGACAGACAGACAGACAGCCGTGTGTGGGGTGGTGGTGTTGTTCTTGCTTGCCTTTAGAATGCCGGCCGAGACTGCCCCGAGTGACTTGATGATCCACCACAGCACACTCGCTCGGATGAAGCACACAAAATACAACAAGATGAAACCCAACACTATCACCTACACACACACACACACACACACAGACAGTAAGTAAGCTCAATGTGCTGTGGATGTATCCCTGACTGACTGACCGATATGCTTCCGCCTTTGTCTTTGATGTTTGCGATGACGAGGGTGTCGAACCGCGGGACCGTCCACACCCCTGTCCACACCAACAGCACCGCCGCACACATTATCCTAAGACCCATGACACACACACATACATACAGAGAGAGACAGCTCGACCGTTGGATACCATGCAGCTGCCCGCCCCATTACCCAGCTGGCGCTTACCCCATGAGTCCGGTCAGTTTGGTCCCCGGAATCGCGTCAGCTCCATGGAGGTACTTCTCATACACCACAAACGACAACGCATGCTAACCACACATACATACAGCCATACATACAGCCAGCCATTCATCAGACCACACCACACCAGACAGACACGCCATGTCCTGTCCACACCCATCCTTTCACCGCTCACCCACCAGTATGGCTGACGGCAGGACGAGCAGCACTCCGAAGAACTCCTCATCCTCGATGCTGAAATTGAGCGTCAGCGCACGGCTGCACAAACCCACACAGATTAACAGGATGCCGCACCACTGAGACGACACGCAGTACACAGACACACACAAAGAACATAGTGGGTCTCACTCACAAGTAGGGCTCTGTTGCACTGGCCTGCGTGGGTGTGTGTGTAAATAGGTAGGTACCTGTGCGGTTGTGTAAGACCTTTTGAGTATGAGCACCGAGAGGACGGCCGTCCAGACGATGGAGCTGCTGCCGATGACTATGTACACGGCTGAACCGGCGTACACCAAACCAGCTGGCACAGACATGCACACATACACAGACACACACACACAGGCAAGTACGCTATGCTATGCAGTGTGTCAATCTGTCTAGTAATCATTCTTCTGCACCTTTCTCGGCGAGCTGGTGGAGCACATCGAGAAAACTGACGACAGCCGCCTTCCACCAATTGCACTCACTGGAACCACACACACATTCATACACAACAGCCACAGCAACAGCGGCAGATCCACGATGTGCCATTTCTGCCTCCCTGTCTGCCTAACTGCCTCGGAGTCCCATACTCGCGCTGACCTGAATTTCTTCTCTGTCGGGAAGAATCCCACCGGCACCATAGCCAAGTAATGCGGCAACAGATACAAGAAGGTGGAGGGCTGCACAACACAAATCAACACACACAGACACAGACACATGCACATGGGGAGCCTTCAGATCTGCAGCCTGTGCATATGCCCCTGCTCACTCACACTGGCTGCGCCTTGGAACTTGAGCATGTCGAGAACGAGAGGCTGGGCGCAGTAGACGATGAGGAAGAGGGAAAACCGCACAATGAGGCTCGCCGTCACCTTCATAGCGCAAACCACCGCCTCAATCAATCAGAGAATCAGCAGTCAATCAGTCAATCTGCAACAGGCGAGGGGCGAGGGGTGGGTGCGCGGCGTGCGCGCGCTCATGTCTGCTGCCCGCAACTTCCCACACACGGCCCACGCGGCAATGGCGAGGTCTCTGCAGATGGAGTGGGACTACGTCTTTCGTGTCGTGCTCACCGACGAGTGCGCTCT